CATTTAACAGTCTTAGCATCAAGACCTTTCCATGTTTGCATTACTGATGCCAAGATAATAAAAAAAAGCCCATTTGAGCTTTTTGGCTCAGACAGAAAACTACTTTTCATTGCGGAAAACAAGCAGCACATCTAGAAACACTTGTAGTTCTGCTCAGTTATCCCAGCAGAATATATATATATATTACCTGAATCTGCGGTAGACGACCTTCAGGTGTCTCAGACGGCCGGTACCAGTGGTGTTCCTCCTCTTGGCCTTAGCGCTCCAGTTGTCTACAAAGAAAACAACAGAGAGCTGGTTAACGCCCTGGCAGTACTATAGCGTAACGACACAAAGTATTAAGACATTTGACATATCGTTTATACTTTTTCTGGCTGTATTAAACAGCAAAGTGATACAACTGAGTATATTCTACCTGAGAGGAAAAAACAAACGACTGTGCCCATATGGACATTATAGGAATATCTATCCAACACCATATATTAGTTAAATAATCAGTGAAACACATTATGTTGAGGCACCTTGTCGTCACTAAATGCAACCAAAACAACGCTCAAAGAGCCTAGAACTGCGCTTTTACACTCACGTGCATCATTTTAAACACAAGACGAGAGCTTTAAAACATCAACACATCAATGTGCAACTCACACTTTCTCTTGCGCTTCTCGGGGTAGCCACACTTGCCACAGGAGGACTTCTGCAGGTGGTAGGCCTTGGACCCACAGCGACGGCACAGGGTGTGCGTCTTGTTCCGGCGCTTACCGAAAGATGAAGTTCCCTTCGTCTGAGAAAGAGAGTTTGGGAGGTTTAGAGGAGCAAATCAACCACACGACAGGCTTCAACGCCGTTCAACGCTGGGGTAGTCTTGTCTCAGCACAGAAGATGAATCACAGGAAGTCATTTGTTCAGACATTTGTGTTTAAAGACATCACTGACAAGACATGTGTGGCTGTGATCAACACTTGGAAAGGAAGGAGTCGTGGGTGCATTACTGGTGGCAAAACTACTTAAATATAGGTTATAAAGCGAGCAAAAGATTATACATTTCGTCTAAATTCATCAGGTTAAAAAGGTGTTTTAAAGTCTGCATGTGCTAACTAGTGTATACACTCGGTGCTAGTTGTGCTAATCACTATATTAAAGCTACTGAGCCATTAAACTGGCTCCTTTAACCTTTATTACACGAATAACAACGCTAATTCAGATCCTGCTGAGCTGCCGGGTAAAACAGAAGATATTCATTGTAATCTAAGCGTTGTGTGTGTTTTCTCCCGGATACATTGGGGCCATTTTGAGCCTCAACGCTGTGAGCGGCGAC